CAGGGATATGGACCAGACTCCATTTTACCCTGTCTCATAAGAAACGCTTCTCCCGTGGGAACACCCAACCTCTGAACCTACCAATAGTTGGTTAGCATAACATGTTTGGCAACACAAAATGGCAATCCTTACACAATGTAAAGTTGTCTTCTTTTTGGTTCCCATTTTTCTTGGCAATGTACCCTGTCAGAAATTGATTATCTAGACATTAGTAACATCCTTTAACTTGCACTCAGCTAGGGTCATTTGACCCACTTCCCTTCTGTTATGACTGTGGAAGTCCCGTGGGCAATACCAATGTGCCCCCCCGCAGTGTTTCGCTAACGGCTCAGCTCAGCTTCTGTACCCCTGCTTGCTTGCTTGCTGCTATGCCTACCTGGACGCAGGTTTTGTTTTTAAATACCCTGAAATGCTCAGGCTCGGGGCTGTTCCTTGCAGAGACAGTTATGGGTCCTGCAGGGAGCAGCTAAATAAAGGCTGTCTAAATAAAGACTCTCCAATTCGGACAAAATGGGCTTCGTGTTTTCGGAGCGGTCTGCCCCATAACATCAAGAGAGAACCATCTGTATTCATTATGCCCATTCTATTTGTTTGTTCTGTGGTGCTGGGGATCAGGGCCCTGGACATGCTAGGCAAGCACTCTACCACTTAGCCACACCTCAGCCCCCATGTCCACTTTAAAATGAAGGACTAGCCCAGCCACGAGGCACCACAGTCTTGGTCATTGCTTTTTAACTTTGGGGGTTAATGTGGAATTTGCCCCAAACGGCTTTGTAATTTCTTTTGGATTTCCTGATATAACCCCTTCGTGTGAGCCACATAAATATTCAAACATAGTTAAGTAACTGATATCCCAAGAGAGCACCTGGAAAATGAAGTATGATTGAAGAAGAATGATAGTAAACAAGATCATAAACAAGAAGAATAAAAATATTATATACTTTCCTTTCTTTGCCTTTTCTAAGTGCTGCATAAAGTGCAGCTCTGTTGCAAAATAATGTCTAACATTTATTCTGGAACACATGTTGGCTGGGTACTTTTTCTGTGCCAGACACTGTGTCATGGGCATGTGCTTGGGTTGTCCCCCAGTGTGCCATATGTGCCAAGTTTCTGCCATCTTGTCTCCACGCTGGCTGACTTCCACCACTGTTTGCCCTACTGGCTGTGGCATTACTGAATAATCCCGCTTCCTGTGTGAAAAATGATTTATCACTCTCTCTTGACATTTGCTTCAATACCCTTCCGTCGGGTCTGAGGAAGCAGCTCAGCAGGGAGCACTCGCCTAGTCTGCAAGAAGCCCTGGGTTCTATCCCAGCACCGTGAAAAAGTAAAGCAAATAAAAAAAAATCCTATTGTTGACCTGCATACCTCAGGGAGGTGTGTGTGTGGGTACCTAGTTACTTCTTCCTTGTGGGTTGCCAATTTTATTGGAGCTATGATCTCCAGACAACTAATATACCTACTTGCATCTAAGAATCCACATGTCCATATATTTCTAGAAACTTCAGTGTCTGCTTACCCTTAAGTACATTAGTGCTAATGAACATTGGCATAAAAATTAACATAGCTGGGCACAGTGGCACACACCAGTCATCCCTGCAACTCGGAAGGCTGAGGTAGGAGGATGGCAAGTTCAAGGCCAGCCTCAACAACTTATTGAAGCCCTAAGCAAATTAGTGAGACTCTGTCTCAAAATAAAAATAAATAAATTAATTAATAAAAAGAGCTGGGAATGTAGCTCAGTCAGAAAGCAAACCTGGGATCCTTTCCATATTTCTATCTGAGCAGAGATCTAAAGGCCCTGTGGACAGGTATTGTGGCCGTGGCTGAGCACTTGCTCTGCACTTCTGAGTGCCATGGGGGAGATGAAGACGGCAGCTTGGCTCCTGAGGTTCTGGAAACCAGACAACCACATGGACGTCTATCACGGAAGCCAGAGCGGGGTGCCTGTGATAGATGTGGGCTAAAGTACATGAGGCACGGCCAGCACATCCCATCTGAAAGACCAATAGGAGCTGCAGTGAGAAGGGAGCAAACACTTAGAATAAAAATTAAAAGTAGACTGCAGCATTGATACATATTGCCACAACGAATTCACCATGGAAAGCCATGTAGACGCTCCTCCAAAGATTAGAACAGAACTTTCATGCAACATAGCATCTCGCTTCCAGGCATATATCCAAAGGAACTGAAGTCAGTATGCCAAAGTGAGTCTGCTTTCATGTCAGCTGCAACCCTGTTTACAATAGCAGAGATAAACAACCAAAGGGTCCAGCAATAGATGACTATATGCATACTATTTAGCCATAAAAAAGAAAATCCTGCCGGGAACGGTGGCGCACACCTGTAATCCCAGCTGCTTGGGAGGCTGAGGCAGGAGGATTGCTAGATCAAAGCCAGCCTCAGCATAAACAAGGTGATAAGCAACTCAGTGAGACCCTGTCTCTAAATAAAATACAAAATAGGGCTGGGGATGTGGCTCAGTGGTTGAGTGCCCCTGAGTTCAATCCCTGGTACAAAAAAAAAAAAAAAAAAAAAAAAATCCCTGAATGCAGCTGTTGGACATGATGTTAAGTGAAATAATCCAGAAACAGAAAGACAATGATCTCGCTTTTATGTGTGCTAGTGCCTTTGTGCTGCTGTAACAAAATGCTGGGAAACATGTAAAGAACTGACATGTATTTTCCCAGTCCTGAAGGTAGGAAGTCCAAGCTCAAAGCCATGCCCTCCAGTGAGGGCCTTCTTGCTGGGTCCTCACATGGTGAATGGACAGGGACAAAGGGGACAGATGCAGAAGGGCGGGGGGGGGGGGCAAGCCAGCGGGGCTCTTGAGAAGCCTCCTGGGCATGGGCCTGAATCCTGCTCCTGAGGAAAGGCCACTGGGGCCTAATCACCACCTAGTACTATCTGCTGCTATTTAAACTGCTCCCAACCTCCCTGTGTTAAAGGATCTGTCACCAGCTGATGCTTTTGGGGGGTTGTATAACCTTTAAGATGAAGGGCCTGCAATGTCCTTGAAAGAAATATTGAGTCCCTGGCCCTTTCCTCTCTCCCTCCTCTCCCGCTGCCCTGAGGTGAGCATTTTCCTCTGTCATGCACTCCTGCCATGCTGTACTATGCCACCACAGGCCCAAAAGCAACGAGCCAACTGACCATGGACTGAGACCTCTGAAACGGAGTCAATTAAGTTGACTATCTCAGGCACTGTGTCACAGAGACAGAAATCTGACCAACACACTGTCACATTGGCAACACCTGAATTTTGAAGACATTCAAACCAGAGCATTTTAGAATGTAGAAAGAGTCAAACTTACAGAAACAGAGAGAATGGTTGTTGCCAGGAGCTGGGGCATGGGGAAAATGTGGAGATGTCAAAAGGCATAAACTTTCAGCTATAAAATGAATATGCTCAGGTCTCTAATGTCCAGAATAGTGACTGTGGTTAATGATGATGCATTTGTTTACTTGAAATCTGAGAACAGATTTTAAATGCCCTCATGGCTCCCTATACACACTTAAACACAAACGGTTACTGTGGGTGGTAATGGATGTGCTAATCTGTGGTATTCAGTACACGTGTATGTTACGTATATCAAATCATTCTGTGTATACCTTGCAGACATAGCATTTTTACTTCCAATTAAGTATTATTTAAAAATTGCCACTTAAATTTTAAATCTTGTCACTCTCAGACCTTTACAATGGATGGATGGGGTTGAAGATCATTCCTCCTCCAAGCCCCATTCCCCTCTCCCTCCTTCAGGGTCCTCTCATAATGAGTTTGGAGCTTCTTTGGGGAAGTAGCTCCTTAGCCTGTGAAGAATGGATGTGAGTTCTGCCAGGTCGAGTGGGGGAGCAGGCGGCATTCCAGGGAGAGGGTGTGGCGCAGGCAAACAGGCCGGGAGGCCGGAGGTTGGAGGTACTTTGGGAACATGCTGTTTGGTTTATCTGCAGCAAGCAGCAAGCACAGGGAGGGGAGGTTGGGGACTTGGAGAGATGGAGTGCCTGAGAGTGAGACTGTCTGTACTTGGGTTTGGGGCACAGGAGGCTGTGAAGTTGGTAAGAGACCAGAGACAGGAGGCAGAAGAGACTGGCTTGGTGGGAGAGTAGGGAGGCCTGAGTCTGGGTGACGGCAGAGGAAGGAGATCCAGGGACCTTGGCGGCTGAGTGCATCAGGTGGCTGTGTGTGTGGAGGTGCCGGCAGCCAGAGGACGGGAATGGAGCTGGGTGCAGGACACCTGAGAGTGGCCACGAGTGGGCTGATCGCGGGGTTGGGGAGGGGTGTTCAACCGGTGGATGTCAGTGTGGAGGCGCAGCTGCTGAGGCCAGAACAGGCCTCTAGAGGGGAAGAGGCGTTTACAAACCAGAGAAAAAGACCGTGGCGCACACATCTTTGGGGACCACGAACACCGAAGGGGCAGAAGAGCTTGGGTAGGTTAGGAGGAGGTGGCATCCCGGGAAGACACAGAGGCCGCGAGGTGGGGTAGCTCGAGAGCTGGAAAGTGCCCGGGAGCCCTTCCTCCTGGGCGTCAAGGACAGCAGCCTAAATTCCGGGCCAGGTACGCTGAGACCAGGTGAGACGCCCGGGTACCGGGCTCGCCCAGGACCCGCCCCCTTCCTCTTCCCGGGAAGCGATTGGTGCCGGCGCCTCCGCGTTGCTAGGACAACGCCAGGGTCGCTCGAGGCTCCACCCCGCGCCTTCCGCCACGCCCCCGCCGCGCCCCTCCTCTTCGCGGGGGCAATTGGCCGAGGCGCCCCCCCGTTGCCAGGGCGGTTTCCCGGCTGCCGCGCGCCCGCCCTGCCCCTCGGCCCACTGGGCACCGCCCCACCCCTCGTGGGCGGCGATTGGCCGAGGCGCCCTCCCGTTGCTAGGGTGGCCCGCGGGCTGCCCCGGCTCCTCCCCGCAACTCTCGCCCCGCCCCTCCCCGGCCTGGGGAGGGTGGGGGGCGCGTCTCCATGGCGACGCCGGACGCGCCAGCGAGGGTGGCGGGTACCTGTTGGCTAGCGACGCGGCGGCGGGGATCCCGGCTGAGTCGAGGCCATGTCGGACCTGGGCTCCGAGGAGCTGGAGGAGGAGGGAGAGAACGACATCGGGGTGAGCCTCCGGCAGGAAGGGCTTCCGAGGGCGCGGTGGCGGGGCCTCCGGGGTCGGGCGCGGCAGCCCAGGCGGGCGACAGCAGTGCCGAGCCGCAGCCCCAGGCGGCGGCAGGACCTCGCGGGCCTCCCGCGCGGCGCTGCGTCCCGGACGGCGAGAGGTGAAGCGCCGTGACGTCTGGTTTCCACCTCCCCTCGCGCTCCCCACTCCCATCCCGCCTCCCATTAAAGGCGAAGATTTCCAGCCCAGGGCTTTGGAATTTCCTTCTCCTGGTGTTAACCACAGTGGAGGCATGTCCTTAGATGACCGGATCGTCCCAAGCTGCGGTGTCGCCCTTGAATAAGCCATTTCTCTTAACTGAGCTTTGACCCCGCAGGGGTGACGTGAGTGGAGGAACGCTGCTTCCTGGCAGCCTCCAAGAGGTGCTGAGAGGCCCTGCGCTCAGGAGGGGCCAGAGACATCACCACGCAGGCCCTTACTTTCCTGTTTCCTCTGACCTGACCAGGGTCGTTGGGATTATTCTCTCATTTAGGCAGGCAGAGAGGAGGTAAGATATACAGGTCCACTGAAGTGACTTGGGCTTGGGCTTGTGTGGGCACATTGTTCTTCCCTAAGTCAGGGAAAGACCCCTCTCTGCTGCCAGGTTGGGAACCTTGGCTTCTATGTCTGTGCAATACAGAGTTAAGAGTTCCAGAATCAACGAAGAAATCCAGCACCTCTTCTGTAATGCTACTGGTGCCTGCTCTTTTTTTTTTTTTTTTTTTTTTTTTTTTTTTTTTTTTGCCAGCTCTGGGCACCAATGTCCCAGCTTCTGCCTGACTTGCTGCTCAAAGCTAGCACTTCTATGCCTGGAGCCACCTGGCCAGTTTGAAGAACCAGTGCCTGGGATTCACACCCCCACTAGCTAGTGCAACAGGCAGAACAAGCTGCAGTGAAATCCTGGCTCCAGAGTCCTCTGTGCAATGAGTTTGAGGCTGATACTTTACCTGAAATTCCTTTCTTGCTTAGCTGCTTCCTTTCTCCTGTCTATTCTCCCTACTCTGCCTTAGGTTTCTGGTGTAAGCACTTAAAGTAACTTACTCAAGGTGTGCTTCTGGGAAGATCCAACCTACAATACCTGTCTAGAAAGCTCTCTAGTTTGTATCCTCAAATGGCTGTATTGATTTGTATTTGTAACCATTCCGTGTCCATAATTTTGAAGTTCAGATTGTATTTGGGGTCACCTTAGAGAATTTCTCTTGATGAGCCACTTAGCAACTCAGTATTGGGTGTAGTAGGAGGCCTTGGATGGGGGATGGGCCTTTGCATGTTTTGATTGAGACTAATCCTGAAACAAATATATAAGGTTACAAATTTTTATTTTTTGGCAAGAATTTCTGGGCTAAGCACTACTAGAAAAGGTCAAGAATTAGGGGGTGGCTTGTTTCTGAAGTCTTCATTGTACTATGTCTGTACTTGTAGCACATTGAGACAAAAGCCAATTCCATGGTTTTAAAGATTTTTTATTTTTTAATTTTTAAATAAATATTACAGTTTATATGTAAGTTCTGCAAATGATGCTGTCAGCTTCCCAGGCTAAGTTATACTGCTTCCACCATGTCATTATATGCACTCCCCACTCATGTAGTAAGTGTCATGGAATGTTTATTTTATGAAGGATAGGAAAAATAGGGGGATTACAAGCTTGTGTTTATTTATTTATTTTTGTTGAGACAGGGTCCGGCATCTTCCTACCTATGCACCTGTAGCTGCTGGGATTACAGGCACACAACACCTTTTGTTTTTGGTGCTGGAGATCAAACCCACAGCCTCATGCACACTAGGCAAGCACTCTGCCACTACACTACGCCTCCAGCCCAATTTACTTTTAGACAGCTACTCAATTATTTCAACTTAGGCTATGAGTGTTTGACTCTTAGTCTTGTGATAAGGAGTTTGAAAAGCAGATAAACTTTGCTGAGTTAGAACACAGTAGGTAAAGCCCCCTGTACTCCCAGCACCCTCCCACCCTTCTCCCTGCTGTCAGAATTTCCTTGCAGGGCAAAGTTCTCTTCAGGTTACAGATACTCTAGGTGCCATTGGAAGGAAGATTGACTTCTCTTGGGACATTTGCTTTCTTAGTGCTGGATTATTGGGTGATGTGAAGAGGGAGGTGTCTGCAGCTGCAGACCTGCCCCAGCTGCCTGTGCTACTGCAGAAGCATATTCCCACAAACAGCAGAGCACATTAGCACTCTGTACACACTGGTCGATCAGCACAGCACACTGCAAGCCCCCGTGTTGGGGGAAGTGAGGCTCCCACATGCACCGATGCCCTAGCTGTGTGACCCTGGACCAGTGCTGCTTCACGGCAGGCTTGGTCACCCTCATCACCTGCATGATGGAGTAACTGAATGTAGGCCGAGGTTTGGGAGGATTCATTGGCACAATATGTACAAAATGCTTGGCATGTAGTTAGCATGCTGTAATGAATGTTACCTGTAATTCTCTTAATTTCTTTTACCCAGGAATATGAAGGGGATCGGAATGAGGCAGGTGAACGGCATGGACACGGGAAGGCGAGACTGCCCAATGGTGACACCTATGAGGGGAGCTATGAATTTGGTAAAAGACATGGCCAGGTCAGAATCAGTGACTTAGGCGGGTGGTTTTCCCTGCTGATTATTAGTGAATATGAAATTCAGGAATGATATCAATTATACAATCGATGTATTTCAGGGGATCTACAAATTTAAAAATGGTGCCCGATACATGGGAGAATATATTAAAAATAAAAAGCATGGTCAAGGCACGTTTATATATCCTGATGGGTCCAGATACGAAGGTAAATGTTATCACAATCACATTCTGGTTTGCAGAGGTTCTGAGTTTTGCCTTTTTATTTCTATCTTTGAACTCATCTGTGGGTACTGTAGTATACAGAAAGCCTACTGTTCTTCATGTTATCAGTCAGTAAACACAAATAGTGTTCCTGTTTTCACAGGGTTGGCCCAGCAGTCAGAAACCTTGTAACTACAGTGGGAAATTTGACTCTCCCTGTTGCCAGCCCATGCCCTTCTGAGGCCTGGGGACTGGGAGCACAGGCCACAGGTGTCACAGGGCTCCATGGCTCCAGGTGCTCTGTAGCATTCGCCCCCTGAAGTCCTTGCTGTTTTCCATCCCTGACAGCCCCTCTTCTGATGGACACATGGCTTCTTCAGACCCCATGGTTCCCTTCAGCGAGGAGGCTCACTGCTAAGTGGAGCGCCTGTCTGCCAACATTGCTCACATGCTGACATTATGTCACAGGTGACCGTGCCACCTTATTTCTAGGGACCTCACTGCTGCCCTTCTGCACCACATCCTCTAGTGTGATTGCAGCAGTCATATCACAGACCTGGCAGAGGGCAGGTGGGGAGTAGGCTGTGCACCTTTGGGAACTGAATGCAAAATTCTGTGTTCTGTCCCTTCCCCCTGGAAAAAGTTATCTGCTTGTCATCAGACTTCCCAAAGGTCCTGACCTTGGAGTGTGGTGATGACAGGTGATGTTGCATTTGTCTTTGGCTTTACTGCCTTGGCCTCCTGGCCTGCAGCCTGAGGACGGCATTAGCACCTGGGAGCACACGGAGCCCTGCCCAGTGACCGTTGGCAAAGACCACGACATGACGAGGTGACAGCATCACTTCTTATTGAGGCACTGTGTCCTTCACGTGCAGCCATGCTGCTGTGTGGGTAGCTCTCTGCCCCCCTGACACAATCCTGAGACCATCATGGAAAAGGAGGAGGGCTTTCTTCTGGCTCGTGGTTTTAGTCCATGGTCATTTGGACACATTGCTTTTGAGTGTCAGCTGAGGCTGTGAATCATGGTGGAGTGATCAGTGAAGCAAATCTCTTACCTCATGGCAGCCAGGAGGTGAAGGGAGACAGGCAGGGACTGGGTGACGATGTCCCCTTCAAGGGCACGCTGCGGTGACCTAACTTCCTTCCACCAGGCCCCACTCTTACAGGTCCCACCACCTCCCCATAGTGCCACAGGCCAGGGGCCACGCCTTCAACACATGGCCTTTGGGGACACTTATCCAAACCATACCTGTCCTGTCCTAGATACAGCAAGGAAAAGTGATTATAGAAAGGGGATGCTGTCGGTTCTGAGCCACGCTGGAGAGGGTATGTGCCTGCCCCACGAGAGGTGGAGTTTGTGTTGGATTGTTTCCTAAACCTTAGAAGCCCGAGCCAGCGTGAGCACCATCTGCTTTTTAAATGAACTTTAAACACTTTAGGGCTTAATTTAATTCTTTCCAATTCCTTATGAGCCCAATCTCAATCTTAATTTTAGTGTGAATGCTGATACAATTCAGACAACATAAACAGTAAATAAAAAAATACTCAGAATAAGCCTTTGCAGGAACTTTTAATATGGAGATTAACTAACTAAAGGAAAACTAACCCTGTGACTCAGGACACCAAGTGCATGGGTCTCCACACCAAGCCCAAGCCGTCTCCAGCTCTGCTGACAGCTGGGCTCCCGGGGTTCCGCCCAATGCTTGCACTGACTGCCCAGAGTGAGTTAGTGTCACCCGCAGCCCCACAAGGCTGCTTCCTATTCAGATGCCAGGCGACCCACTCTTCTGTCCACTTTAATGGCTAATCATGGCTTCCTGTGTCCCCTTCCTCATATTTGGTGATTTGATTTAATGGCTCACAGAATTCATGGAAAAACTTTACTGTTACTGGGTTATGATAAAGGTTATTCCAAAGGAGACAGATAAATCGTCAGATGAAGAGGTACACAGGGTGAGAATGGAAGGGTCCAGATGGTCTCATAACCTAGGGGCATGAGGTGTAGTCACTGTCCAGAGATTTCTTCTCTGACTAAAGCTTAAATAAGTGTCTCATTTCACAAAGACAGTAATGGAATCTCAAGTCAGAAGCTATGATATTGTGGGCTCAGTAAGTCAAAGATCTTCTAATCACCAAGTCTAACTGTGACTGATTGATCCACGAAGTGTACTTGGGCTAACTGCCATCTAATAGCAGGATGGCTACCTGCAGGGCAGTGTGCTCAGCCTCAGGACCATGCAGCGTAAGGCCCAGGACTGGCCTCCCTGCAGCTCAGTCGGGTCTGAGGAGGGCGCTGAGGAGGGTGTGCGGATCCAGAGCTCCAGGAGATGAGCTGGGAGGTGTTCCTGGGCTGCAGGTGCCCGGGGGTGGTGGGATATGAGATTGCAGGGGTGGACGGATACCACATGTCAGAGAGGCCCTTGGACCACCTCTGTCCATTTTGGAGTTTGGGGATGAGGCCGGTTCAACCTGTGAGGCTTGAAAGGGGAAGGGGTGTCACTACTGCATGCTGTCTTGTTGCCTGTCACACAGAACTGAAGAAAGTGCAGTTTCACAGTGAAACTGGAGAGACACGCGCTGCGATGGCTTCATGGTGGCCTGGCTGGAAGCTCTGAGGAGCAGTGAGCCTGGACTCCAGGAGAGGGGACTTGCAGAGGAGAGTCCTGGCATTGGAACTGGATGTGCCGGAGTTCCATTCTCTCTGGGGCTCCACTGCGACTTGGGCAATGCACGTGGTCTCTGTGTCCAGCAGGCCATGTTGGTTTCTGCATATACCAAGTGCACGAGGCCAGCCTGTGTCTGGCATGCTGGTGCTGCGTAAATGCTAGTTCCTTCTCTGGCTGGCTGGGCCTGCAGTGTTGGGATCTGGCTTACCAGCATGTCAGAGGACAGGAGAGCTTCGTGTGGGAGCTTTTCTTTTTAAATAGTCTCTAATCCCCAGAATGCCAGACTGGGAGCCCTGGTGACAACGGCGGGGTTGGCATCTGACCCCCTGCTCTCCCAGAGGAAGGCCCAACCCCAACCAGCCAACCACCTGTAGGGGCTACTCCTGAAGAGAAATATAATTATAAAACTTCTGTTGCCAGATCCAGAATGATGAGGAAGTAGAGGGTCAGTGAAAGGAGGGCTTTGAAAAGAGTGAAATGCATAATTAAAGCAGTATTAATGGAGTTTCTGAATGTCGTTCCCTTGGCTCATGGCCACTCAAGATGCCCCAGCAGGTGACCTTTCTCCTAACTGCCTGCTCAGTTGTACAGGGCTGATTGCCCTGGGCAGAGTCTCTGACTTTGAGTAGGACTTAAAAAAAATTTACTCACCAGACCCCATTGGCATAAAATTTAGTGTCTTTTGTAATTTAATTGGCCTCTTTAACTTCTTAAAAATGTGTGCAAAATATGTAGTACATTTTTCTTATGGCGCTACCCTGGATCCCAGCTCACGTGCTCAAGAGAAGGGAGATGTAGTCATTTTGTCCCAGTCTTTTTCTGGGAAGAAACCAAATGATGTAACTGTTCCAGCTGAGGTGTCTTCCCCAGGGGTGTGTGGAGCCGGCCCCCATGGCTCACAGAAGCCAATTCTGCACTTCTATATGTAGCTTGAAATTGGCCACAGCAGGACGATCGCCACCACAGAAATCAGTCGATGCTGCAAATCCAGGCACATTATTGTCCCTTAAGATGCAGGCCGCTCCTCTGGGACATCTGCACATGCTGTATGTCCTCATGGCTACCTCAGGTACCTCATGTGTGGTTTCACGGATTTCTTAAATGTCTGACTCTGCCCCCGTTGCTCACCTGGGAACCTGCCCACACATCACATCTGGGAGCCTGGCCTTGGTAAGCCCACCCTTTTCTGAGCTGTTTTTCAGGCAGTGGGCTCTGCTGCTGTCCGCCTTCTCTGGGTGGCCCACAGGCCAGCCTCTGTCCCCAAGCTGGTGCACACTCCTCCAAGACAGTGTCATCAGAACATGTTCTTCAGAAAGTGCTCAGGACACTGTTGTTGCTGGACAAATTCTAAAGGGATTGAAGAACGTGTAGCAGTGCCTTCTGTGGACAGACTTCGGGTCTTTCCTGGAAACACACCTTATGGGTGACTGGCATCTTCTGGGCACACCCTGGGCTCTTACCTCCATATGGGTGTGTGTCCAGCGTTCCTGCCAGCCGGGAGCTTATCCAAGTTTGGGGGCCCTCATTACCTTAAGAAAAAGGATGTAAAGTTGGTACAGAAGTGAATTTCTACTGCTAATGAGAAATAAGGATACGTCAAACATTTAAAAATACCACCACAACACAGTCCAAGGGTAACTGAGGTTTTTAATTATTTTTATGATACTGGGAATCCAACCCAGGGCTTCCTGCCAGTAATTTTTATAAATTAATATCTGACACACTTCGAGACCAGCTTTCCCACCATGGGTATCTAATACTTTCTGAATACCTCTCCATAAGAAAACAATTTTGTAATATTTTTATGGAGATAACAGAAGGCTGATTTCCTCTTTTCTCATTGATGACCATATTTATCAGACTTAGCTGTTGAGTTCTCATAGTCTAGGAAAGCTCTGTTCAGCTTAATGATTTGTTAGTGGTGATAGGTCAGTTTTTTCTTTTTCTGTTCTCACAGTGCTGGGGACTGAACCCAGGGCCTGGTGCGTGCTAGGCACTCGCTGACACTAAGCCCCCCAGCCACCCCCCCACCCCTGGGGAGGTGACCGTGGGAGCTGTAGGCCTTCTCAGTTTTCCAGCACAGGCTTTAATCGACACTCTTTGCTCTAGTCCTCACTGCAGGGCTGGGTCRTGAGCCTGTGATGTCGTTGCCAATTTCCTTATTTCCCATCTAGTCTTCAGGTAATTAGGAAGGCCAGTGTGGAGGTGAGTGGGCAAGGCCAGCAGGCCAGGGAAGGGGACACAGAGGACTCCCTGAGCCTGGAGGCTCGGTGGGTGGAGGAGGGAAGCTGGTGAGTGCCGAGGCTAGACCCCTGAGCTTGACTGACTTGCCGCTGGATGCCGAGGGCAAAGAACGGAGCCTGGCATCAGGATCTCCGGCAGCAGGCCAGACAAGCTTGGCTGGATCTCGCCATGCCCCTGCCTGTAGGTGCCGGGGGTGACTGTGGCCCACGGGCACACACTGCAGCAGACCTGCCCAGGGAACGCAACCCAGCTCTCTCTTAGCTGCTCTCCAAAATGCTTGGCCACCACATGCCAGCGGCGCAGGGAGAGGGGCTCAGAGGAAGTCAGAGGAGCCCTGCGGCCTTCACCCCTGGGGTTCAAACTCTCTCTTCTGTGGAATTTCCTGAGCCCGTGGCTCAGGGCATCATTCCCTGCTTCTCACCTGGGCCTGCTTTTGTGTTGTCCCTTGCAGGGGAGTGGGCGGACGACCAGAGGCACGGCCATGGCGTGTACTACTACGTTAATAACGACACCTACACCGGGGACTGGTTCGCTCACCAAAGGTTGGTCTGCCCTCGGCCTTAGGGCTTATTCTGGAATAGGAACACGGTGACAGATGTGTTCAGTTGCTAGGGTTTGTCAGCAAAGTCGTGACCAAAGTCCACTTCCAAGTGTGTATCTTAGTGGCCTGTGGGAGGTGCGGAACCCAAGCATCCTCTGTTTGGACCCAAATGGCTTGTGAGCTGGCCTCCATCTAGGCCGTCCGTGATTTCACCGTCAGCCATGAACCCGGAAGTTCTTTCAGGAGGTGAGGTGATGCACTGGGCCCTTGTCTTAACCAGGCACGGGCAAGGCACCTACTTCTACGCAGACACGGGCAGTAAGTACGTCGGCACCTGGGTGAATGGACAGCAGGAGGGCGCGGCCGAGCTGGTTCACCTGAACCACAGGTACCAGGGCAAGTTCATGAACAAAAACGTAAGTCTGTGGGAAGGAGATCTGATGATGAGCTGGGCAGCCCCCCCCYCCCTAGCCCTGCAAGTGGGATGGAATGGAAAATACTGAAAACACAGGGTGGACCGCTGTGTCTCCAGCCCGCTGACACCTAGAGGGCAGGGGGTGGGCGGGGCGGGGGGACACTGGCCTGCTTCTCTGCCTCAGTAGCTGTCGCCTCATCCTCAGGCAGAGCCCTGTGTGTCTTTATGACACRACGTCCTCCCTCTGGTTCTATGTGTCCCTGCTTCCTGGTAGGTCAGGCATCAAGTCTTTATTTCCTGGATTCAGTCTGTGGATGCTTTGGCTCTGTCTCCCCTGGGAGGGGTGGTGCTGCAGCCCTGGGGAGGAAGACCCTGAGCTGCCTTCTGCTGCTGCAGGCCAGGCCACCACCCAGGGCGGGGCGGGGGGTTGCAGGCTGGCCAGAGTGTCTGCCTGGCTCTGGAGGCCTCCTGTTGGGCCGTTTCTGCTCGCAGAGAGCTGGCTCTCACAGGGTGCGAAGGAACCCTGAAGAGCTCAGAACCTGCCACCTGGGCATTGTGGTGGCTTCGACCAGATCCAGAGTAGAAATTCCCTGAGCGTTTGCTGAGCAAGTGGATGGGCTGGAGTTGACGCCGGGGCCTTTGGCTGACGGAGTGGGTTCCCCTCAGGCTCTGAAAGCCACTTGTCCTTTGCACATCATTGTGCCCTAGCATTGATTTGGAAGAATCRGTAAGCTAGATGAGGCTGATCCGAGGAACTGGAGTAAAAATGCAGGCTTTGTCCTCCAGTTAGGAGACCTTCAGGTCACAAGTGGCACGCGGGGACCTGGGAAGGGAGGGTGGAGTCAAACCCCAGCCGTTTCTGGCTGACCGGCGAGGAAGGCCCCTCTACTCTCACCTTTACCAGGGAGGAATGACCAGTCTGCTGTTGTCTCTGTCTCTGCTTCTCCTTTTATTAGCAATTCTGTCTGTAAAGGCCTCCTCCTCCCTTGGCTCACCTGCACACACCTGTTCTATAGATAGAGGTGTCGCAGGACCCTAGAATTGCAAGGGAGCTATTTAACTGACGGATTATAGCCCTGCCTTKCTGAGAGGGTTTAGGTAGGTCGGGCCATGGAGGCTGGGCGACGGAGTGCTGAGCTTCCACACCACAGTGGTTCTGCTGACCGGCCACGGGCGGTGGTTCCAGCAGCAGGAGCACACACCTTCTCACCAGCATTGGCCATTGTCAGGGGCAGAGGTCCTCCTGTTGCCCGAGCGTCTCCCTGGGCACTAGTGAGCTGAAGCATTTTTCACAGCATTAGTGCTGGTTTGTGTTTCTCAGAAAATGGCCCATTCATGTCCTTGCTGGTGGAGATACAAAGAGGCACAGAGAGTCTGAGGCAGGTCCCAGGGGACACTGCACTCGAGTGCTTGGTGTGGCTTCATTTCAAATTGATGAGGGATTGAMCGGGTGGCGTCAGGAAGTGGCCTGGGACAACTGGGTGGCCATGTGGGAAAGAAGGTTTCAGGGTTCCCTCAGCCTACAGAGGTGGGTGCTTCCCAGGAACGAGGAAGAGGCTTTAGTAATGAGATCCATTTAAAAAAGCCTAGTAGACTTAAATTCATAAGAACAATCCTTTATAAATAGAAAACAGTATAAAGAAAATTTAGGGGATGAATGACAAAGGGGGTTAGGATACGAGCAACTTTTAATATATAAAGCACGTTCCTCCACGTGATTTAAACAGTCCCCATAAACCCGTACGATCATTACATGTTAATCGAAGATTTAGAAGATTGTTTGAGGAGATAGAAATGTTAACTACTCTCATTTGATCATAACCYAAAACATACCTATGTGAAATTATGGTGACCCATTTATACAATCAAAAACTTAATTTAAAAATTATGAAAATCTTAAATACCTTTGCTAATAACCTAAAAGGTCTAACTTAGAATTATGAGATTTCCAATTGTTACATAAAAACCATCAAGATAGAACAAAATGTTAATGTTTAGGAAGAATAAGGGTTTGAGGACTTGGAGACTCACTCTGTAGAAATGAAAATCATTCAAGCCTCATCCTGGTTGGAACACGTGAATGTTGTAGTCCGGGAATTCACTTCTGGAGACGTGCCTAAGGATGAATCTCAGAGTGGACTTCCTGTCYTCCCACAGCAGGTGTCAGCAGTGGTCACCGAGCCAAGGGGGTTCCCTCCTCAGGTGGAGGACAGCCAGGCTGATGGCTGCCCTGTGGCRGGAGGTCTTTCTAGGGCAGGGATGGAGTCACATTGCAGTGTCTTAGTGTTTTAAATGACCCTGTCTACTAGCAATGGGGTCACAGAGGAGGTGTCAGCACGTGGGCAGCGGCCCTCTCGGGAGTTTGCCTGTGGGTCAGACTCATCAAACTGTAGGTATGAATAGGTCAACTTTCATAAAGTAGTAAAATGTGGCTGAAGTCTTACACAATAACTAGACAGGACACATACGTGGCAATCCTGCTGGACCGGCCCSGGGACGTGGTGTGGGGTGGGCTCTGTGCTGGGTGTCGTGCCTCGAGAGTGATGTGCTTTGGGGTTCTCTTTGCTCGTAGCCTGTCGGCCCCGGAAAGTACGTGTTTGACATCGGCTGTGAGCAGCATGGCGAGTATCGTCTGACAGACACGGTGAGTGGAAGGGTGGCTGCCGGCGGCGTGCTCAGAGGGAGGGCTGGGCAGTGGCGCCGACCTGCCGGTCAGGGTGATTTGTGAGGGGCGCTGTGCCAGCTCTTCTTGGTCTGCGTGAGCTCGGGTGGGACTCAGCCACTGGAGGTGCAGAGCGTCATTTCACAGTTGTGCAAGTCCAGACCTGGGTTTTGTGAAGAGGAACCAGCTAGTCCTGAGTCGGAGAGTTCTGGACAGTGTTAGGGACCAGAAGGACAACGAAAATCTGTCACCAGTGCCACCACAATTTGTCTGGTATTTATTCACGTGTTGGGTGTACACCTTGAATCTTTTAAAGCCTGGCTGGTAAATGATTTTTCTTTCCTTTCCAGTATTTAGCATTGATATAAATACTAAATTGATGTTCCCTGGTGAACATTAAATGAGCCAGATTATATCATCATCATGAGGCATCTAGGTACGGGCGTGTGTTGGGGGTGATGGTTTCATCCCTGTCATTAATGTCTGAGTGGTGCCTGTGCCTAATTGGCAACTTAGTGAAATTTCCTGACCATGGTGCTAGTTTTGAGCCTTGGACTTGCTTATTAACTGATATCATTCTCACTGTGAGAAGTTCTGAATTTTTCAAAAGAGACTGAGCCTGGAAAAAAGTGTTGAATTGTGTTTTTGTTTTCTTTTTACACAGGAACTCTGAAGTTCCTATGTACCCTTTCCTAATGATCTAAAAATAGATTGTAAGCACACTCTTCCATATCCACATATTTTCTTTCTTGAAGAGAGCTGGAGAACTGAATTCTTGGTGTCAACCACCATACCAGTGCAGTGGTGTCTCCCATCTGAGGGCCTCTGATCCATGCCCCCAGTGAATACCTGAAACTATGGATGGTGTGGAGTCTGTGTACACTGAATTTTTCCCTGGATGTACATGGTCACCATGAAGTTTTATTTATAAAGCAAGAGGTTAGCAAGGCCAGAAATGAAATCTAGCAAGCACGACATGAGTCTGTATACAGTCATGTGGATGTTGCCTCACGCTTACCTTGTTGTACTACAGATCTCAGCGACCTTAACATATTATTTCTTTCTTTTCTTATTGAGAACTTTTCCCCTTAAACGAAGCACTTTGCAGTTTTTCTTAAACCTATCCAAATTGCCAGCATTTGGATATTTCTGTGATTTGGGGCCATTTTTAAGTAAAAGTAAGAGTCACTTGAACACTGTGAGACCATGATGGACAATTGGGTCATCTAGATAGCTACTGAGTGAGTGATGGGTAGGTAGCATATACAGGCTGGACACCGTGGACGAAGGGACAATTTGGTCCCAGGTGCAGCAGGGTGGGACTGCATGAGATTCCATCACACTACTTGGGACGATGTTCACTTTAAAACTTACTAGCTGTTTATTTCTTGAGTGCTCCATGTGATGTTTTCAGACCAGGTGGACTGTGGGCAGCTGAAACCGTGGAAAGTGAAACTGTGGGTCAGGTGGACTGCCATCTCTCTCAGCTGTGGCCGAGGCATTTCAGATTGGCTTGCATCACCCATGGGGACTGTGTGGCCCTGACTCTTCTCCACCACTTTCAGGTGCTCATGAGATGAAGGCAGGTCACCCTTGCTCACTGAGGGGCTCTGCTTGGCACTGCTCAGGGCTCCTGCCTGACATCATCTGGTGTCCTTCCTTTACCTTCTGCAGGCCCCAGCTTAAATCCTGACTGAATTCAGAACCAGTTTTTGCGTTCAGTGTTCAGATAATTTTCAAACCTGACTTTCTCATTTTTCTCCCTAAACTCTCTCAGATGCTAAAATTGAAGGCATCTTTGCCCCTTGACCTGCCATGGCTAGTGGATGCTCAGGCCCTCCTAGCTGTCCCCTGAGTGGCCAGGGACTGCGTGGTCTCCAGAGCACCTGCTGTTGGCCTGACTCCTCTCCTGGGATGCTGCCCTTCCTGTACTCTCTCTGGCTATGGCTACTCAGTTCCCCCAAACCACCCACTGTCCTCTGTGGTCTACAGAGTAGTTGTCCACCTCCTTTCAGTGACCAGAATCTTCTGTGGTCTCACACAAATCTGACCTCTTAGCTGTGTGTCTGCTGTTTTGYTTTGGATCCCCTCTGATGCAGCTAAGAGGAGCCACCAGCCAGGGTCAGGTCCTGGCTAACCAGAAATGGACAGGCTAAAACGGAGGCCTCACCGCCCTGAGCACGGTCTCTTCAGGGACCCCAGGTGCCCACTCAATTCAAGGTGGCTTCCACAAGCCCTCTGCATCTGGGAGAAGTGGAGGGGGGTGGGACGTGTTGTCCCACTGTGTGCTTCTCTAGCAAGCTGCAATTATGTTTGAAAGTGGCCACGACACACAGTCGGAAAACCAATCAGCCTCATTGTTCAACATGATGGTGACACATTTGGTACATTTGCTGGGCTCCCCGGGGTTGGACACCTCCCACCTGTCCCCCAAAAGAACCTGGTTGTGAATCTAGCATGTTGCCCCCWCTGGTAAGAATCTGCCTGTAGTCCTACTGTGATTCCACAGGTCTGCCACCAGGGGCAGTGTGGAGAAACAGCCAAGTGGGGGCCCTCCTGGCACCAGTTATCAGAAGCCCGTATTTCAGAGTGAGGAGAAAAACAAGGTCAAGAACATCTAAGGGGCATTGACACGAGCTCCTCATTCCATTGCTCTTCGGGGAGCACCACAGGAAGCAGTGCTCACCCATGGGTGCCAAGGACTGTGACACAGAGAGCCTAGCTGTCCTCTTCCCCCAGTGAGGGGGCCATGTCCCCTGCATAGGAGCTGGTAAATCAACTGAAGTGCTCACAGTCCACGGGACAAGCCTGGCCCACCTCCTGTCCTTTTAATGAAATCCTGGATTTAGCCAGGTGCGTGGGGACACTTGTAATCTCAATGACCAGGGAGGATGAGGCAGGAGGATCGTGAGTTTGAGGCCAACCTCTGCAAGTTAGGCCCTGAGTAACTTAGTGAGACCCTGTCTTAAAATAAAAAATTTTGAARAGGCCAGGGGATATAGTTCAGTGGTGTAGCTCCCCTGGTGTCAATTCCTGGTACCGAAATAAAATAAAATTGTGGGTGTAATGTGTTTGTATAGATCTGTAAAACAAAACTTGCTTATATTTTATTTTTTTTGCGGTGCTGGGGTTTGAACCCAAGGTCTTGGATGTTGTAGGCAAATGCTCTACCACTGGGTGACACCCCAGCTCACCATGTTTTTTGAGACAGGATGTCACCGTGTTGTCCTGGCTGGCTCCGACTTCTGCTCCAGTGACCCTTCTGCCTCAGCCTGCCATGTGGCTGGACCACACACCTGCCTGCATTTGGCCATTTCAAAGCGCACAGTTCAGTGGCACTAAGGACACGCTCTGGGCCTTGTCCACCGTCCCAGTGGAAAATGCCCGCCTGGCAATGGTACCCTGTCACCCCTCCCGCTTCCCCAGTGGCACTGAACCTGCTTTCTGTGCCATGAATGTGCTCTTTCTAGATAGTGTATACAAATGGACTCACACAGTCTTTGTCCTTCTGTGACCAGCTTATTCACTTGACAAAGAACGTAGTGTTGTCCTCCAGGGTTAGTCGCATTGTGGCCAATGTCAGACTCTCCTTCCGTTTTGTGGCAGAGTGACGTTCGTTGCCTTGTAGGACGGGCTCCTCCGTGCTTCTGTCGATGGTCGTCATCGGCTTCTGCTTGTGGTGATCATGAAGATGCTGCTGTGAACGGGTGTACCAGGCCCCGTCCGAGTGCCTTTTCCAGTCTTGGGGTGTTACCTGGGGGGCACTGCTGGGCAGCATGGTGTCCTGCTGCTTAGCTTTCTGAGGGGCTGCTGGATACTTCCTACAGCAGCTGCGCCATTTCCCTCTGCCCAGTCCTAGGAGAGGGGCCTACCTCTTGTTTTTGCAAATAGATTTATTGGTACTAGAACCCAGCCGCTGGCGCACGGACACGGCCTACGCTGCCTTCACGCTGCCAAGGCAGAACGGGCACCTGCTGCAGTCGCCATGTAGGGGTCAGGGCTCTCTAGAGGGAGAGGTCAACAGGAAGGATGATTATAGCAGGGGGACTTATTAGGYTRGCTCACRYGAYCAGAAGCTGGACAGTCSACAGTGGCCGCCTGCAGGCTGGAGAGCTGGAGGAACCAGTAGCTGCACAGTCCAAGAGGCTGAAGCCCCAGAACAGGGGGGACCAATGGTGCCACTTGTCTGCGACCTAAGCCTCCTGGAGAATCACTGAAGAGTCCCCTTTGGAAGAGAAGAAGGGAAAGTTTGATATCCTCAGAGGATCCTCAGCAGCAATCAAGGACCGTTCAAGAAGAATGGAGCTTGCATCTGCTGCCCTCCCTTGTTCTTCCACCATTTATTCCATCCAAGCCTCCATCCTATTGGGCGGTGCTGCCCATGCTTAGGGAGGGTYTCCATTTCAGTTGGCTGTCCCACATGCCAATCACTCCTAGACTCACCCTCACGGACACATCCATAATCTTATTCATCCTTGGCATCTCTTAATTCAGTCAAATTGACCATGACACACTGTAATGGCCCCCCAAATCTAAAACCTTTGTTGAAACCCCTCCGGGTCATTAAATTAGTTTAGCAGACTGTGAATCACAGTTTGAAAAACAAACTCATAGAATAGAAAACCTCCAGGGGATTCTGGTGGTAGAGACCAGTGCACTGGGCTTGTGCCTGTGGGCCACACTGCTGGAGGTCTCCGGTGGACCGCAGCACCGCAAGAGCTGCCCCACACTTCTCTCCATCCCCTGCTGCCTGTGGTGCAGACTTGTCCACGGCTCCTCTGTGGCCTTCGTGGGGAGAAAGTRACATGCTTTTAAGTTCTGATCTTTTTTGTTATTAACTACTTTAGATACCCCCCCCCTTTCTAACAAAAGTCCTGTGTTTAGTGCTTCTTTCTAAATGATCTTCCCTCCCTCCCTCCTCCCTCCATTCCTTCCTCTGAAATGATATGCCTTGCACCAGGTTCCTGAGTGTATTAATTTGCTGCTTTAACAAAACACCACAAACCGGCTGACTGAAACAACAGAAATTAAACAACAGAAATTTCTGTTTGGGGATGGAGGCAGTAATTCAGTCCATCACACCAAGGAGACAGAATCCAGGAGTCTGGGTTGTGCCTGCAAGTTTTATCRGTGCTCCGGGGTCGGTGCTCGGAGAGGGAGTGAGGGAAGCAGGTTGGGCAGAAGCGGAAAGGAACTCTCAGGAGACCTGGGGAGCTCTGAAGCTGGGATGTCTGCTGCCGTGGACGGTGGAGTGGGGCCCCCGGCTCTGCAGCATTTCTGGTGGAGGCTGTCCCTTGGGAGGGACTCAGTTATGAGCAGCAGTTGCCACTGTGGCCTCCCAGCAGCGGGAGGCAGGAGCTTGGGATCCTGGTGGAGGATATGCTGGTGCGTGGAGGGCCGCTGCCCCTGGGGAGGTTCCCAGAGTGGGGACCCTGGACCAGGAGTGTCAGTGTCCATGCGCCTAGAGGCCACCACCCAGACTACTGAATGTATGGTGGATCTGCAGTCTGGGTTTCAAGGAGCTTTCCGGGTGCCTCTGCTGCAGGTCAGGTTGAGCCCTGCGGTCCTGGAGCACTGGGGTCCCCTTCCTGGTGAGGGAACTCAGACACTTTGAATCCAAGTAGAGTAATTTATTTCTGAGCGACTCAGAGGARGACGAGTGTTGCTCTTTCCACAGGTATCACCATCTGTGCGACAGTGAGACTGCCGCATTTATAGGGTTGATGCTCAGCTTTTTGAAATTTTGTGATAATYACAGAACTGAGAAGTAGACAAATATGCTTGTCAAAATTGACATATGTGGGCTGCCAACAATTGTTGGAATTACATGTTGTTACAAAAGGCTCCATGTTTAGAGATGCTGATCTCTCCTTTCGCTTTCCTGGAATGCTATTGCCCAGAATTGTTGACGTTAGGACTTCCATGTTTACCCCTCTTGTCACTCTCGGGGCTTGTCTGATGCTGRTGTTCTTTCTGTTGTTTATATAAACATCAGAGCTGGCAGGCGTTGAGGTTGGAGGGGACTTGAAGCCTGGGCTGTCCCCTAGCTCCTGCCAGCAGCTGGGACGCCGGGCCTGGGAGCTCACGGGGCCTGGAGGGAAGCAGCACTGCTTGGTCTTCCTTCTCATCTCATGCYGGGGGTGGCGGGAGATTGGTCTGACCATGGAGGAGGGTCACCAAAAGGCTCTAACAATTCAGAACCTGTCCTTTCTTTCTTYGCTTTTAATGTTTCAAACCAAGGTTATATAAGTGTGGGTGAATTTTACATTTTTGTACTTAAAACAGGAAAGAGGAGAAGAGGAGGAAGAAGAGGAGACATTAATAACTATTGTCCCAAAGTGGAAAGCTACCAAAATCACAGACTTGGCCCTGTGGACACCGACCCTCGCTGAGGAGCAGCCCCCCACTGAGGGGCCGGGCCAGGAAGAGGTGGTGGGAATTGAAGGTGCGGAGCCCCAGTCTGTGGGAGCCGCGTGTCCTGCTCACCTGTGTGGTGGGCTCCCTGGGATGTGGACCGTGGGCCAGGGTGGTGTGAGGACATGGTCAGGGTGATCATTTGGGATCAGCCACCCTCAGGGAGAGGAGGCGGAGAAGACAGGACCCAGGGGACGGAGGAGCATCCCACGAACGTGCAGGCCTCAGCTGCCGGGTTCCTGTGACCCCAGGCGCCAGGGGCAGCACGGCGTGTGCATGTTGGCCGGGTGACTGACAGTGCTGGTGACAGTTCCTTCCTGGAGGGAGATTCAGGCAGCACTCCCCCCACCACAGTGTCACCCAGGGTGTCGTCCACATGCCACAGAAAGTGAGGGGGCTCTAACGGGGTGACTCCCCCCGTCGCTAGGGTCGAGAGCCAACTCAGTAGAGAACAGTTGGATCAGCACTGGCTAAGTACTGGTTCCGGTACTGGAAAGTGGGTTTACGGGACAGGCTCAGGCGCAGCTGGGTCACGCCAGCCCTCTCTTCCCTCTGGGATTAACGGTTGGACTCTACTGAATTGTTGCACAGCCAGCTCAGGAGCCCCGAGGCACAGAGGTCTCTCTTTCTCAATATTCATTCCAGATCCTCAGAAGGAGGCGGCATCSCGAGCCATTTGCTGCAGTGGGGCTGGGAGTGCTGTGGGGCCGGGCTCAGGCTGCAGCTGGGTGGGGGGGTGCTGGAAGAGAGCCAGGGCTGCTCTCAGGAGGAGGGAGGCCCACGCCAGGKAGCTTCCCGGCCACTGGTCACCTTCTTTACCGCTGTCCTCACCTTCTGGKGCTGGCTTTGTGACAGGCCGGGGAGAATCAGAGGAGGAAGCCCAGGACATGCCCGAGGGCTATGAGGGCGAGATGGAGATGTTGAGGCCCTTAGGCGAAGACCAAGACATCTACCCGGAGGAGGCCCGGGAGTACGGCTACGACCTGGACCAGGGTGACGGGCGCGAGGGTGAGGGGGCGCCAGGGAGAGGGGCGTGAGGGTGGGGAGCACCAGGGTGAGGGGCGCGAGGGCGGGGAGAGTGAGGGAGAGGGGCACGAGGGAGAGGAGCACCAGGGAGAGGAGCACCAGGGTGAGGAGCACCAGGG